AAAGAATCATAAATCTGAGATGGAAAGATGGAAGACCACCACAAATGGTGGTCACATGACTCTGGGACAGTGTAACTGTGTCAGTTGCCAAGCACCTGAATTTTGATCCCGTGACCATAGGGAAGCTGCAATAGTCATAAATGTGAAAAACAGTCATAAGCCACTTTTTCAGTGCCATTATATTTCAAAGAGTTACTAAATGAACAGGGAGGGGTCCTTGGTGGTCTCTGAGCTTGCTTGTTTTCTTGCTGAGATTTCATTACCCTAACTAGGTAACATCATCAGTGCTGTAAATGAACAGTTCTAAGTCAAGGACTACCTATATTGCCATCTGGTTCATCCCTAAGAGTTTGCTAATCAGAATATCTCATCATGCTTTTCAAATGCTTGATTGAAATCAAGGTATGTATTATGATTACAAGATCCAGATTATGAACTACTAAGAAAATGCACATATCAATAAGTTAACATTAGTCTGGGACACTTATACCTCACAAATCCATCTATTATTATTACTATTATCTAGTGATAACCAAATTATTTTCAAATGCTTACTAATGAACCTCTTCATTATCTAGTCTATAATCTTCTATGGATTTGATATTGCAATGGTTAGCTTGTTGTGTATTGGATCTTCTACGTCCCTCTTTTGAATAAAAGGACATTTACCCTCTTCTACACATTGAAGCACCCAGTCTCAAAGGTAATAAATATAGTTTAGTCAGGCTATTAATTACTTCAATGCTATAGGATGCTGGCCCACAAAGTTCAAATGTATTTGAAGGTAAACAAACCTTCCATTGTCTTATTTCTATACACCTCAGTCTCAAGATCCTGAGCTTCATTTTGCTTTTCAGGCCTGATGGAATGTAATTGAACAATGATTTTTCTTAGTGACTTCTGCCATGAAACTGGATTTAGCTACTGCTTGGTAAAGATGCAAAAGTGGTGTGTGCTCCTCTTTAAGGTCCACAGTAAGGTGATGGCTGAGATTATCTGAAATCATGGAGTGAGATATTACAGTGTGTTGATGATACCCAGCATCACATTTCTATCCCTAGCCACCCAAGTGATGCTGTAGAGATTCTATCTTGGACTATGGACGCTGTGCGGTTTTAGAGGGGACAACAAGCTTCAATTTAACTTTAGCAAGAGCAAATGGCTTTTGGTATCATGGTCCCTGGCTTCTGGGGACTACTTACATATATTTAATTTTGCAAAAAGGTAGCAGAGAAGGAATACGACAGTACTCTACAAATATTTCAAATACAAAAGCCTCTCAAGATTGATAGGTCAAACAATTAGCCACGTACAGTATTCCTCCACATTTTTTTCTCTTTGTCGCTCATATTCTTCCTTTTTGTTATCCCTGACAAAAATGTGTTATTGCAAAAACATGAAGCTAGAGTCAGATTTTAGAAGAAAGATTGTTTTCTTATGTTGTGCTAATTCTTCAGAAACAGACATCAAATCAAATCTAGGCTTACTATGTCCCTTAAGTAAAAAGAGCTGTCCAAAAATTAAACTGTTAGATAAGAAGCTGTCAATAATATTGCTGCTGAATTGATTTACTGCTGGGAAATGCTTTCTTTGAAAATCTAGTAGGGGCTATAAAATCAGCCTTAATGCAATTTGATCTCTTTCTTATAGAACTGTGGTAGACAGCAATGATAATACCACCAATTCTCCAAGTTTTCTTTCTTTCTTTCCAACGTATTATTATTTATTTATTTGTATCCTCTCTTTATTATTTTTACAAATAACTCAACGGGGAAAACATATGCAATATCATTTCTCCTTTCCTATTTTTCCCACACAACAACCCTGTGAGGTGGGTTAGGCTGAGAGAGAGTGACTGACTGAGAGTGACTGAGTGGTCATCCTGTTGGGTTTCATGGCTAAGGCAGGACTAGAACTGACGGTCTCCTGCTTCTAGCTTGGTGCTTAAGCACTAGACCAAACTGACTCTTTGATGTTTAAAACATAGTTTCATTTTTAATGGTGGCTCATGTCTCAGACTTATGACTGTTTTTAACAGTTGCGACCCTTGCGGCATCGCCATGATCATATGATCAAAATCCAGATGCCTGGCAACTGGTTCATCTTTATGACCATTGCTGCATCCCTGGGTCATGGGATCACCTTTTGTGACTTTGTGGCAAGCAAAGTCAGTGGGGAAGCCAGATTCACTTAAAACCTGGATTACTAACTTATCAACTGCAGTGATTCACTTAGCTGTGAATCAAGAAATGATTAGCTGTGGGGCAAGAAATGTCGTAAAATGGGACAAAACTCACTTAACAAATGTCTCACTTAACAACAGAAATTTTCGACTCAATTGTGGTCGCAAGTTGAGGACTACCTGTAACTATCAAGAGCAATACCATGTTTATCTTAACTACAAGGCTTCTTTATAAATATCATAATATTAACACATATTTGGAAAAATTCTCTAACTGGTAAAAAATTAAGGAATGAAGAAATAAAATACCACTGTATTATTATAAACATGCACTTATTAAATGATTTTTCTAAATGAAAAACACACTTCTTAGCTATTTTACATTGGCCACTTCTCTGGCTGCTTCTGTGGTTAATATTTCTTTACTTGCTTTGCTTGTTGTTGAATAACGGCATGAAACTCTTGAAACCTAATTATATGAAACTGGGCAGGATTTATCCGCTCAGAAGAGTGTTGCAAGAACTATGCTTGGAAAATATTTCCAATTCTGCCAAGAAATAAAAATGATATTGGTGAATCTCAGGACAGAAAGTGGGGGAGGAAGCAACTTTGTCTTCAGTTTGGCACATGGGGCTCTCTCACAAGACCTAATTCCTGCAGATTTAACTCAGTTTCAGATGACTTTTAAATCAAAAGCAGGGTAAAAATTGATTAAATAAATGCATTAGGAAAAAGAATCAATTGCCATTTGGTATTTTTCAATGTAACTATTTTAGAATTCAGATGTTATCTACAGAGCGGGTCTGTTGCATACCAGGTCTTAACTTACTGTCCAGAGGGGGCTGGGCCGTTACCAGCCTGTGCTAGAATAAAGAAGACTGTTAAAGGGAGAGCTGTGTAGAAACCACAGAGCTTCTTCAGGTCAGTGACAAGTGGCAGTGCGTGTGGGACCTCTTGTTCTTCCTTCTGCTACTTTTTTTCTCCCAACACCAGAAGCTAGAAGCAGCAGCAGCATCTTTCAGCACACCATGCTAAACTTGAATTAGGAGAATAGGCAACCCAGCACAAGGACAGAATGGTGATCCTGCCAAGCGACAGGGACAAGGAAGCACTCCTGACATGGTCTCTGCTAGTGGAAACCTGATTGGCCCTGGCTTGAGCTGTGAAAAGACCTTGATGCCCCAAATATGCTTTTTCAAGAGGCAACTGGACTTCCTTGTTTTTCTTTGAAGATGTTTAGCTTCTGTAAGCCTGAAGAAGCTTCTTGGATGAGAAATGAAATGTCTTCAAAGAAAAACAAGAAAGTCCAGTTGCCTCTTGAAAAAGCACCTTTGGGACAACCATGACCTGGATGACTTGAGAATCTCCATACACAAAATACCTCGATGCAGAGTTAGAAGTTGAGCAAGCTATTGCCCTACTTGCCTGCTCTATTTGTCACTAAAGAGCAAACCATCCAAAAGTGGCTTGTGAGTTGTGAGTGAGACCCTTGTTATAAAAGAATGGGTATTCATTTCTTCAGTGAGTCTACTTAGCCTAAAATTCCTAAGTATTTTATCTATTTATTTATTTGATTTGTCAATCACTTACAAAATAATAGGTATAAGTATAAACATGAGTAAGAATACAGAAAATAGGTACGATTAAATGGGGAAAATCGGACAGGGATGGGAGTCACGATGGTGCATTTATGCATGCCCCTTACGGACCTCTTAGGAATGGGGTGAGGTCAATAGTGGATGCTTTGAGATTAAAGGAGTGGGAGTTTGAGGATGTAACTACAGAGTCAAGTAGTGCATTCCAGGCATTGACCACTCTGTTGCTGAAGTCGTACTTTCTGCAATCAAGTTTGGAGCGGTTAACATTGAGTTTGTATCTATTGTGTGCTCTTGTATTGTTGCGGTTGGAGCTGAAGTAGTCATTGACTGGTAGGACATTGTAGCAGATAATTTTGTATACTACACTTAAGTCCAACTGTAGGTGGCGTAGTTCAAGATTGTCCAAGCCCAAAATTTCAAGTCTGGTGATCTCGGGTATTCTGTTGTGAGCAGAGGAATGTAGTACTCTTCTCGTGAAATACTTCTGGACTCGCTCAATTGTATTAATGTCTGATATACAGTGCAGATTCCAGACAGATGAGCTGTATTCGAGTATTGGTCTAACAAAGGTTTTGTATGCCCTATTTAACAATTCAATATTTCCAGAGGAGAAGCTTCGTAAGATAAGATTTACAATTATTAATGCCTTTTTGGCAATGCTGTTACAGTGAGCTCTGGCACTTAGCTCATTAGATATGAGTATTTATTTATTTATAGGTATTTATTTAGCTTCTCTTCAATGCATGTAGATAGTATGGCGTTTACTAATGCAGTTTCCCTGCTTTTCTCTATAAATATTCACACTAACAAAACTGATAAAATAGAAATGAGTTTATAATCTTTATAAGCAGGTGATAAAATAGAAAAACTGATAAAATAGAAATGAGTTTATAATCTTTATAAGCAGGTGATGCTGTTGTTACTGTCTGGAACTATAATTAATTGGGGTGGGCATGGGAATAAATATAGAAAGTCCAGGGCTTTTCCAAAATACTAAAAGATCTTAAAGTTGCAACATGTCCAAGCTGTTTATTTACAAAATAGCTGTACTTTCCATTTAATTAAACAATAAGGGATTCCTTGCCACCTGGTTTAGAAATTAGCAGAAAATCCAAAAGGTGCAAACATCTATGTTTGTAAAAAGGTAGAAATGAAAATTAATCTTTTATGGATGTTTGACACAATGCTTCTTTTGATACTCTCCTTGTCTTTTTTTGCAGAAGATGATATATCAAATGTACAAATCATGTGTGCCTGGTGCCAGAAAGTGGGAATCAAACGCTATTCTCTGAGTATGGGGAGTGAAGTGAAATGCTTCTGCAGTGAAAAATGCTTTGCAGCTTGCCGGAGAGCATACTTCAAAAGAAACAAGGTAAGAGAATAGGATTGTAATGCACGCTCAGTCTGATTCTAAACAATATTTTAAATAGTATTTTAATGCATATGTTTCTCCTCTTCTCTTCTCACCCTTTTCAATCCTGTTTCTCATGTGTATTTCCTTCTGAGCTACCAATACATTTAATAAAGCACCCTGTTATCAGTTGCTTATCAGTTAGGCATTCTATATAGATAGACCCCGACTTACAATCATTTGCTTAGTGATTGTTCACAGTTACAATAGCACTGAAAAAGGTGACCTATGACTGGTTTTCACACATGACAGTTGCAGCATCCCCATGATCATGTGACCAAAATTCAGACGCATGGCAACTGACATGTACTTATGACTGTTGCATTGTTCTGGGGTCATGTGATGTGATTGCCTTTTGTGACCTTTTGGCAAGCAAAATCAATGGGAGAAACCAGATTTACTTAACAACTGTGGCAAGAAAGATCATGAAATAGGACAAAGTGCACTTAGAAATAGTGTTGCTTAGCAGTAAAAATGTTTGGCTCAATTGTGATTGTAAGTCAAAGACTACCTATATTCTGTAAGGGCAAATGTATTGCCAGATAAAGCTATTCATGCTGGATTATATAAGGACCACAAATATTACATTTACAGTCTTGTAAATCTTGTTGCCAACACTGGTAGAATCTTAAAAATCCAGTGTTTTCAAAGCAGTAGGAATACAAATCTTATTCAGAAATATGCTAGATTACATTAATATAAAAAGGTGTTGCTTCAGCTGACAACAGGATAGAACATTGATTCTGAGGGCTTTTGTAATGACTTGAGTTGTCTGAAATTTATGTTTTTCTCTCATTAATTAATTTAGCACATTTTTAAACATTTCAGACATTTTGGTTTATTATTCATAACCATTCTAGGGACCATTCTGAAGTATTTAATATTTTATTTTATCTTGAACTGAAATGCAAGTTTAATATTCACCAAGAAAATCATGTTTTAAGGTTTATTTAAAGCAATGGGAATAGCTTTCATTTATGTATAGTTGGAAGCTAGGGGTTTGAAATAAAATTTATTCCACATGCTATACCCAATATTAATAAATGATGAGGCATCATTTAATAGTATAAAGCATATATAAATGATACTAATATACCATTCATTGAATCAAATTGCATACCTTTATTAATAGAAATATGATTTGTTATTGCTGTAATCAAATTTTTATAAATGCTGTAATACAAATTATACTTCTATAGAAATTTTAATTGTATCACAATGTTTGTTAAGTCTATAATAGTGAGACCACTCTGAATTTTAATTGCTTAATTGTGACATTGAAGGAGCATAAAGCAAATATATTATGTTTTGATACTGCTCTTCATTAGATTTCCAGAACAAGTCACATCACAGAATGACCAAAGTGAAAATATAAGTAAAACATATTTTTTAGAATTTATAACATGGATAAAATTAAACTGTTATAACGTAATCAAAAAAGGGAAAGGGAAAAGAGAAAGGTATTAGGTTATAAATGGTTAAATAAGTAAATAACTTTTTACTATTTGCTTTAAAAGTCTGAATAAGGTAATACTTCTGAAGTAGTCATCAGACAATGTTTCAGAGCCATAGTTTATAGGAAAAATGCTGTAAAACTAAAGAGAACATTTGTGTAATGAAAAGTAATGGGAAAAAAATACTTAAACACAACTATTAAATAAAAGGTTTTCTGTGGAAGGGCGAACTGATCTGGGCTGCAAAAATCTCTTTGACCATTCGATGTCAGCAAAGAGAAACAAAAAAAATTATCTGACTGCTCTTCAGTGTTTGTCAAGGTTTTACCATCATTGAAGAACCTTTTAAAAATTCCAAAAACTGGGGATATTTATATATTTGAAATTAATATGGTAGATAAAATGAGAGAAATAATATTGAAATTATATTTAAACACATGCTTCTAAATAGCATTCAAACTGACTTTGAATAAAGGTAGGTACACCACAAAATTACTGTAGTCCAATCCAAAAGGAATAGGATTAAATTTTAAGTATATTTTTTGGAGGAAGGAATGAAATATGTTTTGAAATATGAAGCTGAAAACATAAAAATAGAAATATTAAAAGATAATTGTAATTTACTGTAAAACTGCTGATTTAAAAGCATTAAGTAGATAGAACGCAGTGAAATAAATGACAAGAAGCCCTCTTTTTAATTTTTTTCAATCTGTAATTCTGATCTGCGACCATAATAAAAAATTCTTTTTCTATTCCAATGCACTCTTAATAAAATCAAGCCCTAATGTTTGAAAACATTTGACATAAGAATGGCTGTTAAATGATTTGAGTTCATTTTAGTCTTGTTCTTCAAGCAGTCGTGTTGTTTTTAAGCACTAGTCCCCTTCACTAAATTATCCGACAGTATGTCACTTTCTCAAACACTAAAACAAATCAATAAATAGCTTTAAAAAAAAAACCAAATGGCGAGCAAGCCATTTTTTAATTCTGCCTTTTGCTCCCAGAACATTCAAATACCATGCTTTTCTTAAATTTAATACTTGCAAATGGTAGTTTAAAAATATCTCAGGATTCAGATGAAAGAATTAGTATCATGAGGAATTTAACTTTCTTGTACTTGCATTATACTATTTTACCAGAAGTAATTACACCAATATAATGTGGGATGCAGAAGTCCATAGAGTGGGCTGCTTTTTAAATGCACCTCTCCTATTGGATGATGGTTCATGTTCAATGTATGCAGTATTTGCTATAGGATCCATGTAGGTAGATGCACACACAAATTTTCAATCTATTCCTGGATTGCAAATATTCCCACTGTGTTGTATCAGACAGGTGTATAATTAAATTTTGAGATAATGAGAATTAGATTATAAAATAGAAAGGACATGATGTAAGATGCACTGATTAAAATTACTTTTCATTAGGAGATTAAAAAAAACAATTTTAAGATATGAGTGGAAACAATCTCACTAGAGATATTCTACGGAATGGAACATTTAATAATGAAATGTTTCCTGAAGCAACTCTCCCTTGACCTGAGATATCTGTGTTTGTTTATTTATAACATTTATATGCTGCCTGAATCTAGTTATTGGCTGTCTCAAATATTGCTTTTCTGGGAAAGGTCGTCAAGAAAGTAGTAGTAAGATCGTAACTTCAAAAACATTTTCATGATGCTAGTTTTCTGGATCCACTTGAACAGGGGCTTTGGCCAAAATATTAGCACTGACATGTACTGCCTTATTGGAGGGTGTGAATGAAGCACTTCTGCTTAGTAGAATTAATTGCCATTACCCATGGTGTCTTCTTGGATTACTGGACTTGACTGGACTTGGCCTTGTGGACCCTATGTTGTAGATTAAGTATGTAAGTCAGTTCAGTTTATTATTATGATAACACATTGCACAATGCAGAGAGAGAAAGACAAATAAACTTTTAGCAAACTTAACATTTTGTCCAAAATTCCACTTCAGGTAGCCCTTGACTTACTATAGTTCATTTAGTGACTATTCAAAGTTACAATGGCACTGAAAAAGAGATTTATGACTGTTTTTCACAGTTATGACCTCCAGCATTCCCATGACCATGTGATCAAAATTCAGATGCTTGGCAACTGGTTCATATTTTTTGACAGTTGCAGTGTCCCAAGGTCATGGGATCCCCGTTGTGATCTTCTGACAAGCAAAGTCAATGGGGAAGCCAGATTTATTTAGCAACCATGTGACTAACTTATCAGCTACAGTGACTCACTTAACAACTGAGGCAAGAAAGGTCATAAAATAGAGCAAAACTCACTTAACAAATGTCTCACTTAACAACATATTTTTTGTCTCAATTATGGTCATATGTTGTGGAGTACCTTAATGTGACTAAAAATGTGTAAAACTAGCCCCCAAACTATAACCCAACTAAAGGTCTTGAAGGTTTGATCGGTACATATTTTGAATTTTTCCGATATTAAAAGACATCAAAATAGAAATGCCCACTTGATCACTATGTAATATGAGAGAACACATCTTCTAGTAAAAATTCTATCCATTTCACTTTGCAGTCCATCTCAGTAATTTGGCTGTGTGTTTTTATCTTAATCATATCATAAAAAGAGCAGCATAGGACATCATGTGTGATGTTCTCCATCTGTCTCTGGCCATTAGGACAAAAATGCTACTCTTTAGATATTCTGTTGAATTTGCTTTCAAGGAAAGAATGATAATATCATTTAGACATGTATTTTGGTAAATGAGGCTACTTATCAGAGTGAATAGGTATTCTATAGAATCTGTTTTTCCTAAAATGAGGATACCAAAGGGAGAAACTAGAGCTATAAATGAAGACTACACTTCTGCTTCCAGAGCCAATCATGCATCTTTCACGATCTCAGGATTTAATTCGTCCTGAGTGGCATTTGCAGTATATAAGACTGGACATGTCCCGCCCACTGATTTCCTCCACAATAAGGGCAGTAAGAAAATCTAACCAGATAGTAAGTAGTCATCTGGGAGGCTAACAGGTTTCTTAAAAGGCTTAGTGATTTTAGGTGTGTTTTAATAAGTTTCAGAGCAGTATCATCTCCATTCTTAAGTATGCAGCAGACATTAATTTTGACTGTCTATAACTGGGCGATATTATTCTGATTTCAAATTTCTGTCTTGCAATTTGTGGAAATATTTGCCCTGGAACATTTTGAATGTAGGGATAATTAACTGTCTCTTTTCTGGAGTAGAATAATAATCTGAACTATGCAATTAGGCAGTTGTTAACACTGTGTTTAGGTATACCTTCAGGTGATAGAAAGAAATGCCCAAATATTTAAAGGAGGAGCATTGTTTTATTGTAAGGCATTTGTTCTTGGTACTGCCGTGACCATATCTTACTACTTTGGTTTTACTGTAGGTTATCCTCAACGCTTTTGTCTTGCAGTGGTCAATCTAACACTCTTTATTTTGAAACATAATATTGCTACTGTATCATTAACATACATGCATCATGATCAGTGTACCTTGA